GTCTTCTCAGGGGAGGATGGGCTGCATTGTCTTCAGTGGTCCATCCAGCCTTCCCACTTCTTTTTGTAAGAGGATGTGGGAATTCCAGGGCATGAACGCACTGCTTGTAGGAGGCAGAGCTGGGTGGACACACCCACACCCATAACAAGTCCTACCCAATTCTGCATCTAGGGCAGGCAGTAAGAGAGGGGATGAGACGCCTTTCTTTCCAGCCCCTCAGCTCACCCTTCTCCAGACCCAGGACTCCAAGATTAGCTTAAGGTCTCAAGCTTGGAATGGACAGAAGCCAACTGAGATCTCAGTAAAGGGGAAGGAAGAGCAGACTGCTATAGTCCTGGTCCCTGAAACCAATCCCACTCCCCACTAGGGCTCTGGGCAGTGCAGCTCCTGGGATCGTGTGGGGCCCAGCAGCTTAGCTCATGACAGACAGAAGCAGCCATAGAGGTAGCCTGCCCCCCACCACCCACACCCAGCTGGCAGAAAGCAGAGTCAGGGCCTGGGGCAGGAGGGGTCCCTCCCCCACAAGTGCACTCTTTTTCCTCTGGAGTTAGAAGGAAAGAGTGGTCAGGATGCCAGGAGAGACCTCAGAAACAGGCTTGGATGAAGAGCCTCTGGACATCGGGATACTTTGGTACATGTTTATTTTTTAAAAACAACCTGCAATATACATATTTAAACCAAGTTAAATGATTCAGAACTACACACCAGGGTCACTCAACATGTCAACCCCTGCCTGAGTGGCCAAGGGTGGTGCAGCTGCCACAGGGAGAACATGGCATAGAAAGAAACCCTCACAGAGCAGAGGCAGCAGAGTGCCAGGAGGCCCTCTGGTTCCTAGAGGCACCCTGGGTCGCTCCATGTACCAAGGTGTCCACTTCCTGGGCAACAGACAAGATGCTGACCCAAGGTGATTGCTGGGGAGTGCGGGGGCGGCACACGACACCACTCCCTCCCTCCTCCATCTGTCTCCTGTACAGCCCTCAGTTACTCGCCTGGTCTGTGCCCACATTACCTGCACATTACCCCTCCAATGTGCAGTTGGGGCACAGGGACTCATCCAGCAAGAAGTGCTCTAACCAGCCTCAAATCCACCTTAGGCTGCCTGCTCCCTTATCACAGTTGGCGGTGCTAACAAGGCCCCCCTCCCTACTACAGGAGGGGGCCTTCCTTCATCCGGGTGCTGCTGCTCAGGGGTCTCCAGGCAGCCCGTTCCTTCCCACACAGGCCCATCCGACAGGCCTGACCACCTGAGGTGAAAATGTCAAGCACACTGCTCAGGGCCACTTAAGGTTTCACTCAGACCTCGCCTATTTGTTCACCCCCACCTAACAGAGGAGCCTGAGACCCCCCAAAGGTCCCTGGGCCCGACTCCACATCTATCTCCACCACTCTTCCAGTTTCCTCTCCAGCCCACGTCTGGCCCTGGAGGTCGTCCATTCCTGCTGCGCTCGAGATCTCTGCCTCACCCTGGAGAAGGCAAGGTTCCCGCGGTAGAATCGCAGCTCAACTACAAGCTTAATGAGGGCTTGGCAGCCTTGGCCCAGTCGCTGGTCCTAGGAAGCCCTGGACCAAGGACTTCCCAAGACTCCCGCAGGTGAGTCCGCAGAGAAGGAAGGAGACGCCGGCGCTTCTCGACTCGGCACGTGTCAGCAGCGTGGGCGAAAGACCAGGCTACCATGGGCGCGGGTCCGGGGTCGTCGCTCCGCACCCCAGCCAGCACGCGAGACTGCACCGGTCTCAGCGGCCGGGTGCTACCCCCTCCGTCCCCCAAGCAGACCTTGGCCGTCGTGGGCCGCCCCGTCGCTGTCGTCGCCGCCGCCGTTGCGTGCCGGGTCTAGTGGTCCTAAACATTTCACAATTGCGCTACAGAACTGTTGAACTGTTAAGAACCACTGGACCCGGCGCGCGTGCAGAGAGAAGCTGCGCGTGGCCGGGAGCTCCGGGGCCACAGGTCCGCGCCCTCCCACGACCTGGCCCGCGTGGCCCGGCTGCACTCCGTGCGGCGGCGCCCGCCGTGGCTGCGCCTTTTATGCCGCACGGCCGCCCCACTCGGCGCCGGAACGCGCCAGCCGCGCTGGCCAGACCGGTTTTTCCAGGCCCGCGGGTCGCACGGCGGGTCGGCCCGAGGCCCCAGGACCGGCTCCGCGTGCCTGCGCGGGGGTGGCCCTGACTCACCGGCCGCACCCGGCGCCCAGCTTGGCGCACCTGGCCGGGGTCGGTGCAAGGGCCGCACCCGCTGGAACTCCGAGCGCCGGGTTTGCAAAGCTCGTCAAGGGGCCCAGCCGGCAGGGCACGCACCGAACCTCGCGGGGGCGGGACCGGACACGCCCGCACCGCGGACTCGCTTCAAAGAGAACTCCGTGGGAGGGGAAGAAGGGAACAAAGAGAAAGTGAAACTGGGTGGGGGGGCTGCGGTGAGTTTCTGCTTCCCAGACCTGGGGCGGTGCGAGCCTAGTCTGCGTCCTTTCTGCGTCCTTCCGCCAGCCAGCAGGGACCTTGTCCCCAGCCCAAAGGGCCCCTGTGCTCCTCACCTGCAGGCGCCCTGCCGTCTTAGCCTCTGAGCCCACAAGGGTCCCATACCAGTGCAGCGCGCTGTAAGGACAGTGTAATGGAGAGCGATTGGAGGTGATGGTCCGATTCCTTCGGACCAGCAGGAGGTTGTCATAATTTATTCAAGTCCAGCCCAGACAGCCCAGGAACGCCAGTGTCCTCCGAGCCGGATGCCACAGACTAGGCCCAGTCAGGAGGCAGCCACTGGGCTGTGAGGGAGTCCCTAGACTTTTCAGTGATGCGGTGTAGGCTGAATAGTGAAGGTTTTTGTGCTTCATTTTGCAATTGGGTAAACAGCCTGAGAGAGGAGCAGTGGCATAGAGGACTAAGGGGAACAACTAAGAGGCATACAAGAGTCCAACCTCACCAGGCACACAGACTGGAAGTCATCGCCTGTGCTCAGTGAGAAACTCTGGAACAGCAGGACAGGAAAAACAAACAAAACCTTCACCAGCAACCTAGCCTGAGTGGGCTCCCTTCCCTCGGCAAAGGTGGGCACTGTGCCTCAGAGGGGACTTTGTGGAGGCAGGTGACAACGACAGACCCCTGTGGCTCTCTCACGACTAGAAGAGGAACCTTGCAAGAGATCGCCTGTATATGTGAGAGGGGTTGGGGTGCCCTGGAGGGCTCTCAACCGGGGAGACTGATTATAGAAGAGAAAACGCTGGGAAAAAGGAGAGGGTGTAATGAAAGGGAGATGAGCTGGAGAGATAACCCTGGCGCTGGAGGAGTCCTCCTAGAGGGAAATTACCAGTGTGAAAAACAGCAGCAGCGAGCCCTCCTCCCACTCGTGAGGAGGGCCCTAGAGTTCCACACCTTATCCAATCAGGAGTCTGGTTTTAGGGCAGCCAGATTCACCTCAACTCTGCAGCTGCCAACATGGGACCCCAGTGTTCCTCCTGTCCTTTACTTATCTGGAAGATGGAAGGATGACCCCGTGCTCTTCTTGGGGCTGGAAGGACCATGTGAGGACCCCAAAGTGTTGGGTCGTGCATGGATTGTGCCCTCTAAGCACCTTACCCGTGGCCCTCAGAAGATTGTAGTCATGGAATACCCGCCTTCCTCCCATGGTTTCTGGACAGTCAGACCTGTGAAGCCAGCCCAGGGTCTGTCTGCTGTGAGGTTGCGTTTCTTTATCATTGAAAAGAGGTCCCTGAGAACCAGGTCTGGCTGTCAGGCCTAGTAGAAGTCCCTATTCCTGCCCAGCTGCTGAAGCACCCTAATCCTTGTTGCCCCAATTCTGCAGAACCTGTGTGACCAACAGGCTTCTCCCGGCTGGCAGCTCAACACCTGCGGGAAGGCCCTGGGGATCCAGCAGAATGGGGGAAGGGAGGCCCCTGGGCTTGCACAATCTACTGAGTGTGGTGCACTCCAAGCAATGGCTCTGCCAGTCCCTCGGGAGAGGCCTGCTCGTGGGCAGCAGGCTGAGCTCACCTTCCACACCTTCCTCAGGCTTGTCTGACAGCCTCACCACCTTGCTCTGGACCCTGGAAGTCTCAGCCCACAGGTGATATCAGGACTTCTGACGCTCATGCCCTCTGGCCCCTCTCCACCCACTCAGCAGGGATTCACTGAGGTGTGGGGCAAAGGCTTCTGGGCCCTGCTGTGCTCAGGTGGTGTTGCCAGGTTGTGCAAGGTCTGAGCACACCTGTCTGGGTGAGGAGCTGGGAGGCTGCCAGGGCAGTATCTGCTGGGGCCTGGGAACCAGGCTGAAGAGCCTAAGGCATGGGTAGGGGAGCCTCAGCCTGGCTCACCCAAATGCCAAGGGTCGGCTCTCGGGGTCTGTACATTCTCATGGGGGCCTGGGTTTTTCCTGTCTAGGGACCCAAAGGACAAATGCGCACCCTCATGCAGGCACAAGGTAGAGGAGACTTGAGGCTCAGGGCAGTTCCTTGCTTCCAGCAAGGAAGAGTGTGAGGACTATATGTGGCAGAAGAGCTGGCTAAGGTCTCACACCTGAGGCATTAGCCTGGGGTGGCAGTCCTTGCTAGATGTTTAAAGTGTGTACTGAGGGCTGAGCAGGAACCCATTCCCTAAAGTGTGTCCCATTGTGCCTTAGCCAAAGCCCGCAGCGCCTACCTGTGTCAAGATGCCCAGGACACAGAGAGTAACAAGATGGAAGCTGGAAATGCCCCCATGCTTGGGGTATCTGCCAGAATGCCAAGGCTTCCTGTCACTCCCCTTCAGCCCCTGGCTGCCTGGGAGAAGTAACTTAGTTCCAGATGAGAAGAATCAGGACGTTCAGATGGGGCAAAAGCTGCCCGAGGGGATGGGAGTGGGGCAGGACTCACTCAGGCCCTCCCCACATCACCCTATCCTACCATGCCTGGCCAGCCTAAGGACGGTTGCTTAGGTGGATTACCGTCTACTGCGGAGACAGCTCTCTGCCCCACAGCCTGGGGCCTCCTCCCCACATACGGGCACAGTCACAGCCACAGACCCATCCAGGCCACGCAGCAGCCATCCCCACAACTTTATTGACACTCTGCTCCTCAAAGACCTCCAGATTGTGTCATGCCAACAGGCTGGGAAGCAGTTTAGCAGATGCAGCTGGTATGTGCCCAGGTCCCTTGGGCAGTAAGGAAGACCCCATACTGCAGCAGGATGGCCGGTTGAGAACCAAGGAGGACTTCTAGGAAGCAAGGTCTGCTGAGGAGGTGTCTGGAGGCAGAGCTCCCCCTACTCCACCCCAGATGCTCTGTGTATGGAGTCCAGCCGTTCTCGGGAGAGAGGGTTAGCCCAGCCAGTCTCAAAACTCCAGAGGTGCCAAATAATGCGATGGGAACAAATGTGAGCTGGGGGGCCGAGGTCGTCCAGTCTCCCAGCCCAAGACTGGGTAGGGTAAAGGTCTGAGCTGAGCCTTGCCTGCATGAAGCCCCAGTGGCTTGTATCTCCATCAGACTGTGCTCCTCCCAGAGCCCAGGAAAGACTCGGGACAATGTGTCTGTCCACTCCTCAGGCTGTCTCAGAACAGGCTCTGGGATAGCAGGTGCCAGGATCCAGCTGCAGAGCAATGGGAGCTCACTGAGGGGACATCAGCCCAGTCCAGGACTTAGTGGGGCTGGGGCTGGGCACTGATCCTGTCCGTAAAGCTCTGTAGCAGGGCCACCACGTCTGCATTCCCAGCAGCTTCAGCCTGTAGGGGAGAGAGATCTGTGGGATGCCTGGACTGCAGCACCCAGAAGCCACAAAGTCCCTCCCACCAGGATTGATGCCCCACCCCCACCCTGGGGACTGACAGGACACACCCCATGGGTTGGGTTGATTCTGAGAAAGATATATCCCTAGAAGGGATGGGCAGCTCCTGATCCAGGATGTGGGACAGGAGCTGAGGACCTTTAGAACTCCAGCATAGTGTACAAGAGGGAGGTTCTCACTACTTGCAGGGCACAACGTCCATCATAGTCCAGCTGTCCTACGTCAGCCCCTGCCTGCCACCATGCCCTTAGGCCTTCGCTGTCCGCCCTGAATGCCAGCCTGGGAGGGGGGGACAGGGAGGCAGAGAGAAGCTGTCAGAACTTGCTGGGTCCCTCAGCTGCCTACCTTCTTATGTGCCCCTCCCAGTGCCCTGGGTATTCTTACAAAGACTGCCCTAAACAGCTGATCCAGCAGCACCCAGCCCTGAGGCAGGAGTCCCAGCTGCAGGCGGCCTAGAGTCTGGTTTCACATATGAGGCGTGACTGTGACTCAGGTCAAGGGCACGAGCACACACACACACACACACACACACACACACACATCCATGAGCATGCACATACCCACCCCCTGCCAGTTTCATATTTCACAACACAGCAGACCTGTGACGTGTCTGGCCTGTCTCAAGACAGAAGGAAATACTGACAGCCAGTAGCTATAGAAGGGAACCAGGAGGTCTAGGGTCCAAGGTGGCCCTGGACCGGGTAGGCTGCAGGAACGAGCATCCTGGCTGGGGAACAGCTACAGGAATGGCTTCCCCTATAGAGGAAGGCTGGGTGAATAGCCTTGTCCGTGGACAGTGTCTTCACCCTCCCTAGCTCTGTCTTTCCACTCTAGAGCCAGGCCCCACCCAGGGTAAGCTTGGGGAAGAAGAGACCCAAGTGGCCCTATGACTCCTTCCTGTTTGGGAAGTCACAGCCGCCCCCAGGTGGCACTGTATCATTTCTGGGGTGGATCATGCTGGAAACACCTCCAGCCCTCCCCATTCACCTAGACTGGTTTCCCACACCTCAGCCAGAAGCTCAGGTTAGCCCAGCCAGAAGCTCAGGTTAACCCCGCCCCAGGAAAGCAGAAGTCCTTCGGAATGGCTGGTTCCAGACCCAGCTGTCCACATGCTGCCTCAGTTTCCCTATCTTTCACTGGAGCCAATAGGTCTGCCTGGGTGCAGTCCTAAACCACCCTGCCCCAGGAGACCCTTCAAAGCCAACCAAGGCCAGCTTCCATCCTCTTGGGCCCTCATCCCATTGCCTCTGTGAGCGATTTATTCCTTACTCCTTCATCTTTTGGGGAGTGGTTCAGTAAAAGTACTTTTCTCCTGGGATACTGCAGACCAGCGTAGGGACCTGAGATTGGGGCTGGGAGACTAAGATGTCCCAACAAATCAGTCTGAAGTCTCAAGACAATCACCGTACCCTGGACAGGACGGACACACCACTGATAGCACCCAATCCCAGCTATCACCCATTGCCACAGCCCAGACCCGCTCTTCTCTTTCCCTTATGCCAACCAAGCCCACAACACACGCACACCCTTGCTGACCGTTCTTCTGGGTACTCCTGTAACTGGGTTTGAGGGGGGTACTTCTGTAAGCCAGGCCACCTGGGTGCAGGTTCTCCCCTCTTCAGTCCCACCTGGCTGATCTGACCCTCCCAGCAGCCCCACTGCCTTCCTGGACCCTGAGACCATCACCCATCAATAGAGATGCTCAGGCCATCACCTGCACAGTTCTGTCCCAACATCCTCCAGCTCCTGGGGAGATAGGCAAGCCCCAGCGGTCCGCAGCAGCCCAATGACGCCCTGATGCCTGCCATGAAAAAGTGCTGATTATCAGTGTGGCCTAGACCCTGCCGGCCTCATTCAGCCTGGTGGAGGGCAGGGGCAGGAAATTCCCACCCAGACACCCACAGCCTAGTTCCAGACAAGCACTTGGTTTTTTGCCCACAACAGGGTTCCATCTCAAGGTCCATGGCCTCCATTCATCCAAGGCTCCTTCACAGCATGTCTGGGGCCAGAGGCTGTCCCAAGTCACAAGGCGCTAGTCGGCTGGCTGAACAGGTGGTCTCCCTGTGCAGCTGGGAACAGCACCCCAGAAGACAGTCTCCTACCCTCAGCCCCCACTGTGTTACACACCTGAAGTGACCTCTATGATTATGTCCAGGATAGGATCCGGGGAAACTAAGTCAGTTGTGCCCCAACTGCGCCCTTGGCAAATGAGTTATGGCAGACAGACATGAACAGTGGGGTCTAGTTGGGCCCTGAGCCATTTCCACAGGCTGAGTCAAACCTGGAGGGGGTGCTGCCTGCTGGGGCAGGGGATTCAGTAGGGCACAGACCCCCTCCCTGAGCATCCCAGGGTCTGCAGGCTGTGTGTTGCTGTGAGAACCCAGAAGTGGATCTGGTGGAGAAGACTCTGCCAGGCAGGTCCATCCCACTGCCACACCACACGACAAGCTGTCTCCATGTGAACCGCAGGAGAGATCAGGGGAGGAAGCCCCCGATGCTGCACACATGCCCTCCGCACCCGATACTGCTCTCAGCTCTAGGACAGGGACCCCGATTGGGTCACACAGTGTAGGTTAGTCTTCCTGCATGAGACCGGGGAAACTGGCAGGCATAAGGGCACCCACAGGGCCCATCCTTTCCCTCACAGGCTGTTGGGTAATGTGCAAACACCCACTCTCTTAGCATTGCCAGGACAGGGCTTGCTCTACCTGAGACTATCAGGCAGAATTAACTGAAGAGGATGGGTGAGTTGGCAGAATTCCCAAACAGGTAGGATCACCCTTCCACATGGGGTGAGGGCCAGTCAGGGACCCCACCCCCACCCAGAACATCTGTGCCTGGCATAGCCTTTCTGCTAGCTCTTTCTCTGCCAGATCTTGGTACACATGGCCAAGTGTGGGTCACAGGAGCTCCTCATACATTTTCAGTAATATTCTCCTTTCCGAGACGCGGCCAGCATCTTCTGAGGCCATTTCCTCCCTGAAGTCCTTCCCCATTGCCCCACAGAAGCAGGCCTTCCTCACTGGCCCTGCTCGTGTTCCATCTGATCTTTGCTCACTCCAAGCAAGTACCCTCTCCCCAACCGCCCGGCCCACATACCACCTCAGCATCCAGGCCCTTAGTACCTGCCCCTCACGGCCAGCAGCAGCGGGCTATGGCCATCTTCATTGTGGGCATTCACATCCACACCCTTCTGCAGCAGCATGGTGACCACGGCAGCATGGCCCCTGCGTGCAGCCACATGCAGTGGGGTCTGACCACTAGAGTCCTTCAGGTTGAGGTCTCTGCCCTAGGGTGACACAAGGCACACAACCTCACAGAAGGGCCGGGCAAGCTCAGGTGGGCCACAGAGACTTGGAAGGATAAAAGTGCGGTTTATAGCTCCACCCACTTTCAGCGAGGCCCTCAGCTATGTAAGCCCACAGCCTGGTGTGGCTTTGGAGGGTTGGTGAGGCCCTGGGGAGAGTGTTCTACCCATGTAAACCATGTCCCACCTGTTAGTGTTGTCCCTCAACAGGAGACTCACCAGCTCCACCAAGGCCTGCAGAGTGTCTAGGTCACCAGCATGAGCTGCAGCCAGGGCCAGGCTGGACGTCAGGACATCCTGCACGGCATCAGCCTCCTAACAGAAAGGCAATGGCAAATGGGACCCCGCAGTGCTTTGAGACCCTGGGCATTTACAGGGTAACAACAGACAGCACCCACAGTTCCCTGACTATGTGGACTCCACTTCCTACATACTGGGGCAGGTGGTCTCACTACGTGAGGAAAGTGCCAGAACTGTCCCCACCAGAGGGTTCTGGCAGGAGTCTCATGCCCACCCACAAACCCACCTGTCCCCATGCCCTGGGGGAAAAAAAGACCAGGTCACTGAGCTACCACCAGGTTTCTTTCATCTTCTGTCTCAGAACTACCATTGACCCCCAAAATCTGTTTCATTTTCTGCCTCTGCTGCTGACAGGATGATAGTCAAGTCATCCTTAAGGGAGCATGGGAAATGGTGGAGCCCCGCCCCCGTACATCCACCAAAAGGGTCTAAGCACACAGATATAATATTCTTGGAGCACCCAGAGGCTCTCCAAGGTCCCAGAAGGCCTTCAAAGTGCCACTTTGTCCAGCGTCCATGGCTGGCTTAATCACAGCCTTGTGATAGCTTCTGGCCAGCTGGGCCCTCCAGGGTTTAGGAACCTCACACAGCCACCCTAATGATAGGTCACCGCCCACAGCCAGCATGGAGCAATTAACCAGCTGGCTCATAAGGCTGCTTAGGAGGGGCCACCTCCTGGGCTCTTGGGTCTTCAGCTTCCCCACGCCCTCCAGGGTCTAGACTCTCAAGTATTGAGGGCAGAGGGAAGCTGGGAAATTAGACCACATTCCAAGGTGCAGGTGTGGGACCTAGAACCCCCAGCTCAAAGTCTTGAAGAGACCCCAATCAGCCCTGACTATTCAACATCCAGGACAGACAGCACCCTCACCTTGCTTAGGTTTACCCCAGTCTGAGCTCCAAGCCAGGACTGACAGGCCCTGGCTACGGCGGCAGGCTCTCGCTCTCATCTCTTACCTCCACATGGCAGACAGGCCCCTTCCCCAACTCTGCCCTATGATCCCTCCAAATCCGCACTATCCACCCCGCACCTCCTTCCTGGTCCTCCTCCTGTGCCAGGACAGTGGCAGTAGATGGCGGGTCCTGCCATCCCGAGAGGGTGTTCAGGCCCCGCCACTCCCCCACAGTGCAGCCAGTACCTGGCTGCCATTCAGACTGAGAAGCCATGCTATCTGGTGGCCCAACACGCCATCTTGCAGCAAGGACTGGTGCTCATCTGTCTCAGGCAATGTCATCTCCCCACGAAGGTTCTTGACCAGCAGCTAGAACAGGACACAAGGCTGATAGGCTGAGCCAGCACAGCTCCAGGGAGTTCTGACTAGCTGAGAGGACCTGGATCCCCAGGCAGGGAGATGGGCCTGCCACAGGGCTGGTAGGCCACCTCAGTGCTCTACCCATATAAGGACTTAGTGTGACCCCACTAATCCCCCCAAAGAAGGTTAACACTGTCCCCTTCTCTATAAGCTCAGGGTTTACTAAGGCCTCAACCAGGGTCTGGCAGCCTATGGGCCTGGAGGCCTGTGAGTCTGAGTCCACCTGGGAAGGAGGAAGCAGGACAGGGTGTGAGGAGCAGTGTAGGGGTGCTAAACTGGAACTCAGAACCCAAGGTTCCCCAGAGAAGGGTAAGAGTGTGGACTGGGTGACCTGGGTCAGCATTGGCCCTATCATCCCACAGGGAATTCCCCTTCTGCTTCCAAAACAGACACAAGTACTCTGTTCCACCCCAGCACCCTCAGGAGTCAGCAGGCACGCATTTGCACAGAGGTGCTCTAGTCCCTGGAATAGTCCAAGGTGTACACACCTTCTTCCGGTCATCCAGGCTCAGCCCCAGCTGGCCTAGCACATAGGACAGTTTGGCCAGGGCAGCCTCTGACGTCATGTCAAAGCCTGAAACAATGCCAGCTCCTGCCATGGCCTGTGAGAGGGCAGAGGGAGGTTGTGTCAGAGACCTCCCCTGGCTAAGGGCAGCAGAATCCAGACACAAGCTGTCTCACTACCTTTCCCCAGGCCCCTTGTCTTCCCCTACCATGCCAGACGCATAGTCCGAAGTCACAGCCCCCTGAAGGCAATGGGTACAGTTGACAATGATCAGGCCTTGTTCAGATGCCACCCGCAGTTCCTGCAGCAGGTCTGGCTTGGTGGGCCCATTCCCAGAGCCGAAGGTCTCCATGACCACCCCTTTCAGTGGGGGCTGCAGAAAGGTCCGCACCTGTGTAGGCAGGACACAGGTTGGGGGAGCTCTAGCCAGCAAGAACAGCAAGCAGGGCTTGTCCTTGCTTCCCAACTGTCTGACTTCCCTCTCGGGGTAGCCTGGCTCTGTCTGACTGTGGGGAGAGCTGAGCCTTGGTATTCCCCCATCCATCTAGTGCTAGCCAGGAGGACCTGGGCTCCTGACACTTAGAGGCCCTTAGACAGGGCCCTGCCCAGACTCCCCCAGGCTGGACAATTCCATGCAAAGGACAGAGGACAGTTTTGTGTCCACCCAGCATCCTGAATAACAGGTAAGGGAGGTGCCAGTCACCCAAGGAACAGCTGGTACCGAGAGGCTGGTGACAGGAAGCGGGGGAGGGCCACAAACAAGACAAGAAGAGGCAGAGACCCAGCATGGCTGAGGCGGGAAGAGGACACACAGGCCAGCCTGGACTATAGGCTAAGACCCCGTCTGAAAAGAAAACAGGAGCAATAGAAAGTGGGGTTCTGCGGCCACACCCACATCAAGTGTCCACAGGCATCAAGTGTCCACACAAAGAAGCCCACATTTGGCTTAAGTGCTCAGCCTTGCGCCCAAGCAGGCTAGACATCAGCCCAGGAAGAGCTGAGCCCAGCTGAGAAAGAAAGGTGTGCAAACGGGTAGGCTGGCAGGTTTTGTAGACCATGGACTGAGAAAGGCCTGAGTGAGACAGAGGGAGGGAGCCAATAGCGTGGGGGGCCCTGGGGGCCATGGAGAGCACTACAGGCAGCAGGCCCTCAGGCTTCCTTACCAGTGAGGCAGGGATCCCAGGGTAAAGGCGCAGCAGGCCCACGTCACGCTCCATATTGCTGTGCACCACAAGACGGTCCTTCTGGCTGGCCTTCCGTACCAGCTCACGGTTGACTGAGGACAGAGAACAAGAGTCAAAGCTGCAGGTCACAGGCAGCTGCAGCCTAGCCTGCCATGCCCACCCTCTCTGTCCATCCTGGTCTCCCTCAGGCCGAAGCCAGGCTCCACGGCAAGCCCATGGGCTGGGAGGAGGTGTCAGGAGAAAAATCACTAGCCAAGCAGTGATAATAAGGTGGTGACCAGGGTGATGGAGCTGAGGGCTGGGGATCATGGCTGACGGGCGAGGGAGAAGGGCAGACAAGCCAGCCTATGCTGAAGAAGAGTGTGCGTGGAACGCAGAACTCCCAGCAAAGGGACCAGCACGTGCTAAGGCTGGAGCCGCAGTCTGCTGGTCCCAGAGGAAGGCCAGGCTGCATCCTCTGACAAACAGCCTAGCTGTGTCCATCATCCCTCCCACACCCAGGCTGGGGAGGGAAGAAAGCAGCAGGAACATGGGGTCAGCATCCCTTGAACAGTCATTCTGGTGACCTTCCAGATGAGTACCATGTCCTTAGGGTCAAAGGTCACTGTAAGGTCAATGCCCAGGCCCTAGCTGTGGGCGGGAATAGGCATGGCAAGCTATCCCCTGCACCTCATGATTCTGGCCACTCGGATGCCTCCAGCCCAACAGAGATGGGATGTTGGTGACTTCCCTGTACTAAATGGCACCCAGGGTCCTCCAGTTCAGCCCAGGAAAATTGAGTTCTGGAGAGGGGAATGGTCTCCGTTGAGGAGCTGTGCATAGAAGTCAGGCACCTCCTCCACGACTGCCCGTGCTCTGTCCTCCTGCCCCGATGCAAGGTGCAGGGGTCATCGACTCAGGAGGCCTGGCTGCTGTGTCTGCCAGAGCGGTTACATGTGATAATCAACTGGACAATATTCTGAACACACACTGAGGAGTGAGGGATGAGGGAAGGAGGGGCAGGAGAGGGAGCAGGGTCCTCAAGCAGCAAGCTGCCCACCCTACCAGCTACGGCATCTATCAGCTCACACAATGGCAGCCTGAGATGTCCTTTAATTTAGGGCTGTGCACCTCAGCTGGGCAGGCAGATAAGGTTTGGGGGTGGGGGTTAGTTGCCACCAGAAGAGTTATGGCTACAGAGAAGGGCTGCGTGGAGACAAAGGACTGCCCCATGGACAGCCACCCTCCTTAGGAGCCAGGAAGCCTCTCCTTAGGACCTTTAAGTCCTCCCCACGGGGACTCTGGAACACAAAGGGGAAGGCAGCAGTGACTCACCCTGGCTGCCATGTCAGTATTTTAATAGCCCCTGCTACGTTCCAGGCGAGAGACTGAACCTGGGAGTCAAGTCTGCCCTTAGCTTAGTGTCTGAGGTGGCCCAGTGGCTTCTGGGAGGCAGGGGGCTCCCATGTACAGAGAAGGGCACTGAGTTCCACATGTCTGTGTGTCAAAGGCATGGCAAAAGAATCCTAGCTAGTGGGCAGCAAGATCAAGGGCACCTTTCCAGTAGGAGTGAACGCTCCCTCAGCTCCTCTGCTCTGGTGCGATGGGAGGGCTTCCCAGCAGAGGCAGATCTGGAAGAAGGAACTGGGGGTAAGGACAACGGGGGTGGCACAGACACACAAGAATAGGCAGGACCAGCAAGACCTGGCTGTCCCCAGTGTGTCGTGTCCCTGTGCCAGGGCAGAGCAAACTGGGCAGCTGGAGTCTGTCATGTCTGTCATCAGGGATGGTCCCCTGCTCCCCTCATGTCCCCGAAGATATATGAAGTGTCGGCGGCAGCCTGTGGGAGGCCTGCGTCACACAGATCATCAGGACTCTGTCCTGGGGTGGCTGCCAGGAGCCCCAGTACCCCTCCCCAGGGCCCCACAGCCACACCCTGAGCAGAACCCCAGATTTCTCAACATGAGGTGTCAGAACCGGCCGGGCAGCCTGACAATAGCAAGAAGGGGAGGTGCAGGTTCCCACACACCCACACACGCAGGACGGTACATCAGGATATTGGGCTGGTACTGACAGTGAGCCTCAGCTCTGGGCTAGGGAAGCTACTGATGGGCTGGGCTTGCAGACCAGGTGCCCCAGCATGGCAGAGGCTTTTAGATTCAGGGTGAAGGCCTCGCTGCCCACAGGAGATGCTCCAACCCTGAGCCTGGGTAAGGAGTGACTCAGGCTTGGAGAACTGAGCTGCAGGGCAGTGCTCACAGTCACTGCTCCCCTCCCTGGGCCACTGGTGCCAACATGGGATAATAGACTACCACAGGTACCATCTAATGTAGGCCTTTCCACCGGAGCTTCAGCAGGTCCAGCCCCAGAGAGCAAGTGGACCTCTGCCACTCCAGAGACACCGGGGTGCAGGCTTAGGGTTTTTCACTACCTAGAAGATTCTAGGCGGGTGGCAGGAAAGAGCATGCAGGGGGAAGCCAGGGTGAGCTGAGACCCTGGAGTTCTATCAGGGAGGGAAGAGAGGAGGCTTTGAGGGAGTAGCCCTACCCTTTCTGGAGGGTCTACTCCTCCTGAACCTCAGCTTCTGATACACAGGAAGAATACCAAGAACAGTCACCTGCAGGTCCCAGCAACGCAGTGTCCCACCCACAGGACCTGCTGTGCCCAGCAGAAGCACAGTGTGGGTGAGAGCTGCCGCCGCCCTCCTAGAGAGCTGGGACACTGCCAATCGTCCTGTCAGAAGAGCTGCTTTGACTCCAGACTAGCAACCCGACCTGATGATGCACATGGATCCCAGTCCTGCTGGGTGCAGGACTCCCAGGTGGAAGATAGCCCTGCCAGCACCTCCCCGAGAACTACACAGACAGGTCAGGGACCAGAACCTCAGTTACTAGGCAGGTCCGGGTGCTGGAGAACCCGGCACCCGTGGGCAGTGGTGCACCTGCCCCAGGATCAGTGGCTCTTCAATTCTCTTCTACACCTGGACAGGACAGGCCTAAAGGACCAGGAGGCAGCTGCCCCAATTTCAGAGAGACAGAGGCCCTTCAGATTTATATCTAAGGTGGAAAAGCAGGGGCCACTAGAGTCAAGGCCCGACTGGCATCAGAGGCTGCCCACACTTAGGGTAAGGAGCTGCTATGCCCTTATGGAAGCCCCAGGACCAGGACCCTCTGGAACACAAAAGCTAGGTTTTCAGAAGGACCCGTGTGTGCAACAGAGCCACAGACTGTCATAGAGAGGGACTTCCCGGCTGGGGGTCATGTGGTGTGACAGTACCCACAAGAGCCAGACCCCCCTCCCCGCTCTGAGCCCATGTTCCTCACAGAGGCTTCTCACCTCCACACAAGACCCCAGGGTCCCCCTTCTCACTCCCAGCCAGCGGGCCCTGCTTTCAGATCCCCTTACTTGTGACATCTGCACCCACAGTGGCCAGAGGGGGCAGGTTGGGGGAGCAGAAGGCCGCAAACCTCCGCGCGTCCACCTTGGTTGTCCGATTGCCCCGATAGAGCTGATTCTGGAAGAATAGGCAGACCTGTGGAGGGAAAGACAACAACTCAGAGCTGGCCCCCGACATCCTCCAGTTCTCCCCAACCCCACCACCATCAACACACCAAACCTGGAAGGTAATCAGCAGGCAGGGTCCTGCTAGCCAGCACCTACCCAGTGTATGGGGAGCCAGTGACTCAAGAGACTCCTCTAGGGTGAAGGAGGTTGGGGTGACCTTTGACCTGCCTGCTGTTCTTTCCTAATGGCTAACCCTAACACCACCAGTCTCCGGGACTGCTACAGACAAAGCTGCTCCTGGCCTGTAAGAGACCCACCTGTTTTTCTTCCTCTTCTGCCAGGTGAGACAGAGGGCCCATGAGGAGAGACACAACAGACTCCATAGCCTAATGTGGGCACAGTCCATTTCCATGGACTCATGTATATGTAAACACAAGTGTAGAATATCTACAACATAAAGCCTGGCTGGTAACAAGAATGTCGGTGGGGGACAGCTTCCCTTCCTTGGCTCTGTCAATTCCAGGTGAGGGACACATGTTTTCAAGACCGTTCCAACCTCTGGCCTGTGGGTCCCCACGTGGGCCATAACCATAAGCTCTCTGGCATTCACCGTCCCACCCTCCACCCAGGCCGCTTCTGTAGCCAGGCCAGATACCTCAGGAATGATGTACTGGCCAGCCATGAGCAGGGCCCCCAGCAGGTTTTCACGGCCATCGTTCCACAGGGCATGGATGGGTACCTGGGGAGATGTCAGAGAGGTGGCTGAGGCCTGGGGAGCCAGGACATACCCGGCTCCCCCACTCCAGGAAACCTCTCAGGCTCAGGCAGGGAGAGAAGCTGAGACAGGGGTCTGAGGCAGTTAGCCAACTCCCAGGGCTGGGAACCACTGGCATTTCTTCTGACAGTGCCAACCTTCTCTAAGCAGCTCCATTTGGCTGCCACAGAGAGGAAGCAACCAGGAGGCACCCAGGTCCAGTTCTGGCCCCCATTCCACACGGCTGCAAAGGCCAGCTTCCTCACTACCCCAAGAGCTGGGAGCCAGGCAGGGAGCCCAGGGTAGCAGCTGGGTGGGCTGCAGGACAGTGTCCTTCCTGAGGCACGCGGGGTAGTCTGGCTTGTCCCTCCACTGCCTAAGTGTGCCACACACCATGCTGGGAGTAGCTCAGCAGTGCCCAAGAGGACACAGTGGGCAGGACTGAAGTGAGACATGCAGAGAGACTCTGGCCAGAGAATGGTCAGGCAGTTGTCAGTGCAGCCCCTGGAGGTGCACTGTGCACCCTCCTACGGCGCACGAGCTGGGGAGATCTAAGCACATTGGGCCCCACTTCCCCTGGGAATAACAAAGGCTAGGGATGCCCTGTCATGGGTCTTCTCCAAGTAGGGCTACTATACTAGGTGCTTCTCTGGGAAAAGGGAGAGACAGAGCCACCACTCCCAACAACACCTGGCACTCTGGCAAGAGGTCTCCCGTGGGGGCCAGTTGGGCCCACTCCTGCCTGGTGGAACCTCCCCCAGGTTGTGTTCAAAAGGACCCAGGTGCTGCCATCCTGTCCAGAGGTCTTGGCCCTGCCCCATGAGGGATTCTGGAGGACTTGGGTAGGATTGCTGTAATGGTCACCCATAAGTATCAGAAACCCCAAGACAGCCTTCACTCATAGAGTTGTTTTCCATAGCATTCCATTGACCTTGGTTTGGGAAAGGGCACAGCAGGTTAGGACAAGAGAAGGGGATGTCATATGTGAGGATTGCTAGGGACGGCATCAGAGAGAAGAGGAACGGGGTGGGGGTGAGGGAGTCTCCCCCTGTACTGCTCTATGTGCGCCTACCATGCTGAGTCTCAGGTGGTAGCAGTGGGTAGCCAATAGGGAGAAGAGGAAAGAAAGGAAACCCCACATGGCAGAGCTGTAAGGGGCTCAGCTCTGGGTACTCTTGAGGCCTCAATGGACAAGACCTCCAGGAGCCCGTGGGTCCCTAGTCTCAGGGACTGGTAGGAGCTCAGCGAGAGTGAAATGGCCAATGCCTCAAGTGTCTAGAGACACCCTAACTGGCATCACACAGCAGACACGGTGCCAGAAACAGGTGCCCCGGCAGCAGCCAGGGCTGGACAAGGCCCGCTCTGTGCCACCGAGAACTGAGACCCGTGGGACATATTACCTGGGCCCCGGTGAGGATCACAGGCTTCTGCAGGTTCTCCAGCATGAAGGACAGCACCGAGGCGGCAAAGGCCATGGTGTCCGTGCCATGGATGACCACAAAGCCCTGGTACTGTGTGTAGTGTCTCTGTTGGAAGGGATGAGCTCAGGGCGGACCAGGTCTCTCGACCACTGGCCTTCTCTGGGGAACATGGCTGCAGGCAGCTACTTCCTCACAGGCCATGAGAAAGAGGAAAGGCCTGGATGCTGGCAGAGGGCTTGGCATGGCACCACTTCATCTCCCCCTACAGGCCCTGTCTGGAAGGCCAGTCTTTGCCTGGAGTCCCCTGTAACTCGCTCTAAAGAATGAGGGGATGTGGGTCCCAGGGACTCTGGACACTGCTGGGAACAGCTTCACAGACTTCTAGCTGGTGCCTCCCAGGAGCAAACTGGCCATGCTGGACACCTCTGACCATCACTTCCTGGTGGTATGCTAGCCAAAGCTATGGCTGCCAAGACAACAGTTCTGAGGGCTAAGAGGCTCCTGCCAGAGCCTCCTGACTCATTGAAAGACAAAAAGAGGAACTAGGGAGTCTCAAGGAGCGGAGTGCCCTCTGCTGGCCATATGAGGTATAGCGGCTTAGCGACCCGCTATGAAGCGCATCAGGCTGTTGGGTTGGTGCCCAGAAGATGGCCTGCCCTGCTTCACGACAGAGGAACACCACCTGGACCCAGCCTGGAAACCCTGTCAGTCACAAGTGAGGAAGATGGCCCTGAGCCACCACAGCCTAGTCTGGGAGTGCCCATTAATGGCCCGGCTCCAGAAATGGGCAACTCGGAGCTGGCAGTTGGGGCAGGAGCCTGGGAGAAGAGGCAAACTAGGGAAGGCGGGGGCGGCTCCAGGGCAAAGCAGAGAGGCAGCTCCAAGGTTGAGATCGTGGGGGTGAGTCAGGCCCACAAAGCCAGTCAGCCCCCACACGGCCTACCACACTACTAACTGGAACAGGCCAATAGTACGAGCAACCAGCCTCTACTCGTGTGGCAGAAAGGGCCTCAGACTGTGCACAGTGTGTGGCCCAGGACCCAGCACTTTCCTGAGGCTGCGCTGCCCTGTAGGTCACCGCCAGATCTCAGGTGGACAGACTTGATCATAAGCCCACAGTGCTTCTGCAGGGAACCTGCCCTGCCCTCCAGTCCCGCCCACATTCAGCCCCTCCCACACCCCACCCTTCCCATATCCCTGTTCCTCCCGTATTCCAGCCCTCCTGCACCGTAACCTCCCCCTGCCCACTTGCTAGGTCCCACTTTCCAGTCCAATCCAGCCTTCCGGCCCCGCCCACGCCTCATAGCCCCACCCACACTCCCACCCTCTACCTCTATGGTCTGGGCAATCTGAACCCACTCAGTGATGGTCATGTCACTGGAGTCGAAGAGTGGCTGGCACTCCAGCACCGTGTAGAGGATCCTCTGGTCAGGACTGGCCGGGCTGCAGGAGGCAGAACCTGTCTCCCATGCTGCCCCACCTCCACTGCTCTCTCCAGCTAGGGTATGGGCAAGGTTATGGCATTCTGGATGGGGCTATGGAGTAGGCTGTGGGGTGCTGGGATATGGTTGGGGCTGTGCCTGGCAACCCCATCCCCCACCCCGTGGAAGGGGTTTTGTGATTAGTGTGGATGGGCTCCACCTCATAGGCAAGTCTCACATCATGTGTTCAAGACCAGCCTCCCTTCCACCTGGAGTGCTCAGGGACAAAGACTGAGGCAGACAGGCTGGCCTTGAGCAGGGTCATCCCCTACACCAGTTCAGACCAGCTCCTGGAGAGCAGAAGTCTACCTCACTCAGCCTTGAAGGGCATACGGTAGCTGAGGGCAGTGAGGATACACAAGACAGCCATGCTGAAAAGGGAAAGGCCCCTGGGTCAGCCCCGGCTCTCTTGATAGGTTTGGTACCTAGACAGAGGTATCCTCACCATGCTTGCTAGGGCTTCCTCTACTCCTGGCCCTGCGGGCTCAGCTTAGTGGGGAGGAGAGGTGGAAGGCAGTGAGCCGAGCCGCAGACACCACAGTGCACCTCACTCAAGAAGTGTCCGGGATGTCTCATGCAGATGGCTCACATGGAAGTCCCAGGGCAACAGAGGCTGTACCCTCTGGCTCCAGGCCCTGCCTACCCTCTCAACCCCAGGGGAGCTGCACACCGTCCCTGCCTCGGGCCCCAAAGAATGCCCACTCACGGCAGCACCAGCGTGTCCTCGGGCAGGCGGTGGGCCTGGGCGTACTCCTCATCGTGGAACATGTGAAGTGCCCTCAGGACAGCAGCCAGGCCTCTCCCAGGAACCAGCACTGCAGACAGAGTCCAAGCAGAGTGTGGGCTCCAGGCCAGGGCTGCACCAACTCCCACAGTCAGACAGACCCCCGTCCCTTCCTCCTGGGTGTCAGGTCCTGGACTGGGGCAGGGGCCGGGCCTCGGCTGAGCTGGGCCTCAGCTGCCACCAAGGCCCCTGGGAACTTGGGTAGCAGTTTCTTCCTGAAGCTTTGGCATTGTCCTTTGGAGCTGACTCCTGATTGAGTTCTAGTCTCAAACCCAGGCAGTCCCAGAAGCGCTAAGCACCACTCCGCCCTGCTCTGCCTCTGCTTGTACCAAATATGTCTGTACACTGCACCAAGGGGAGTCCATAGGGCCAGGCCCTCTCCAGGACTGAACTCGGTGACTGCCATGGACACTCACAATTCTACCCCCACAGGCTGACACTGCCCCCGCCTGCCCCATTTCTCATCCAGTAGGTACTTCAAGACCCAGCTTGAGGCAACCCCTCTGGGAAGTCATCTCTGGTGCCTAGGCCCTAATGCCCTTCCCATAAGCCCCCTGACCAGCTCAAGGCTTCCCAGAGGGTATGGACTGTGTACAGCTCCTCCAAGGTCCATCTCAGGCTCCGGCCCTGTCCCCTAAACAGAGAGCCAAGCACACAAATGCCCCAACCCAGCCTGCAGCATTAGAAATCCCCAAAACCTGGATCTAAGGGAACACTGTGACCCCTGCTCATAGGACACCCTAAAGGGCACTACTGCCTGGCAGAAAACAAGTCCCAGGAGACAAGAGCAAAGTCCCAGCTGTTGCTCTGCCCTCGGTTGGCTCTGTGACCTTGGGCAGATTGGGTAACCTCCTCAGGCAGTCCTCTCTCAAGGCCCGTGTGAGGGGCCCCTCGTGCTGATCCTTACACACAGCAGTGAAGACAAAAATGTCCCCAGAGAAGCACACGGGACCTCAGGAGGAGGCAGTGGTGTGGCAGTCCTGGGTGTCACTGGGTGACAGCCTTAGTCTCTGCTGCCCAGACCTTTTCCTACGGCTGCATCACTATCGCCGAGACCCTGGTCCTTCGACAGACTGGCCGTCATTTCCCACCATCAGATGGGCACGCTACACCTGCCACCAGAGCTTCTGCAGCGAAGCCCTGACTATGGAATCAATCTCACATGCTGCAGGCATAGGGACCCTTGTCCACTGGGCTCAATCCCAGCTATTACCCTATTCCCCATCTTCAAAGCCAGACTCCCTTGGCCTCTTCTCTGATCACATCTGCAGATGCCTTTGTCACAAGGCCGCGTACTTACACGTGCTGTCGTGAGGACATACACTTCTGAGGGCTCTGGGGAGGATCTCCTATCTCTGGTCAGGGTCAGCGGGGAGTAGACCTAGCAGGCTTTCCTTCCCCACACCACACCACGCCTGAATCAAACTGCCAGTAACTCACCCCAGAACATGTGGCTGGAGCCGAGGAGCACCAAGGTGAGGGCTCGGCCCTGCTTGCAGACCTGCAGGCCTCAGGAGTGCCAGACTCCAAGCAGGTTTGATGCCTGTGTCAGCCTCCTGTCAGCAGGCATGGTAGGCATCCAGCCAACCACCTGGCCAGGGCTCCATCTTCCCCAAGTATACTCTGGGCTACGTCCTATTTCTTAGTAAGTATAAGGGTACTCCAGGCAGCCCCAGGCCCCTGCCAACCCCTCCTCCCCTAGCAGCATCACCCTGTCTCTTGTACCCAGCTAGCCTGCAGCTCCAGCTGCTGCTGCCAGCCTTTCACTGATGCCGGCTGGACCTGGTTCTTGAGAACATGGTCACAAGTTAAACACAAATCAGATGGGCTCCCATTTCTCCCAGGTGCAGGTCAGGAGCCCTGCAGACTTCGGAGCTGACACAGATGTCCCCCACCACTGATGCCCCCAGGTTCAATAGGCACCCCCTGTCTCCCAGCTTCCCCCAACCCCGCGAGCCCGGTACGGAGTTCGTAAAACTTCATGGGTGCAGTTTGCTGTTGCTGTTGTCTGCTGCTGTAGCTGCCACTTATGGAAATGTTTCACGGACAGAGCTCAGAAAAGTGATAAACCCTGAACGTCCAGCCAGCCCCATGGGCCCCCAGAGTGACCAGGACATCAGCCTGCCTCCACAGGCAGGAGCCACCCAAGCTACTCAGGACCACACAGTTTCTGGTGCTATGACTGTGTCTAATACCCTGGGAGGGCGGCTCGAAAGGACCACCCTTGTGTTCATGTATGAACACATAGAGACTGTCCCCTGACAATGCGACAAACAGAATAGGGAGGTTGTCGCATTACAGACAGGAGGAATGACAGACCCTGGCAGCCACCAGAGGTGGAGGAGCAGGAAGAGTTCTCTGTCAAGGTCTTGAGACTTTAAACTTTGTCTCCAGAAAGAGGGACGGTCCCTGAGGCTTTCCATGCTGGTTGGTTGGCAGCGTCAGGACACCTGGACCTTCACTCTCCACGTGAGCTCCCCTGACAGCAGATGGCACTGGAGTAGCCATAGAAACCTGGAAGTCACCTACAGGGAAAGTGAGATGGGTGCTTAGGCTAGGGGATGATGGACATGTTGTCTCTGACCATGGGCAATGGCTCCTGGGGACACATGGCACACTGGTGAGGCCAGAATGAACTGGATTGAGGGCTTACGGACTGAGAGCCCCACCTTGAAGGGTGGCATCTGGGAAGCATCAAAACCAGCCAAAAGAAAGCTAAACTCTCCTATGTTTTTCTTTCTGGAGAGGAAACATAAACTTGTTACCATGTGACAAGGTGCTAGGAGGGGGAAAAGTGTGAAGGAACAGACAAGAAGGCCAGGAGCCGCCAATGAGACCATTTTTCTGGATTCTACAACAGTGTTTTAAATTAGAATTTGCTGTGATTTCTTTCAGTGTTCTAACACTGGCTTTCACCCCAACTCTTATTTTGTAAGCTGCATTCTTTTCCCACAGAGTGCACCCCCAAAGCATACAACCCTGGGATGCTGACCCCACCCACCCTACCTGGAACCTCATGGCCTGTGCAGCTGCCATACTGGGCATCATCCCAACTGACAAGACTCTATGGTTGGGGCCAGCTGTGACCACTAGGCAGGAGGCAACCTTGGCTACTCTGTGCAGAAGCTTAGCTGTCCCTCCGTGGTGGCTGCAATGAATGGCTCCCAAGGGCAGCAGGCAAGAGGGACCCTAGCTAACACAGTGCCCAGGTGTCACCCACACATGCCTGGGTCCAGACTTGTGGTCATTGGACACATGTTGATTTTTGACTTGTGACATCTGGAAGGGGCAGTGAAGAGGTGAGCCATGCTGTACCTCTGCCCTCTCCTGCCCTCTCCTGCCCTGGCAGGGCTCATCACACAGTGTTAGGCAGTGTTTACCATCAGACACACGAGCTGTCCCAACAGCGACAATCTCCACAGCTCCTCTGCAGCGAAAGCCACCACTCCCACTCACCAGGGGCCAGGGCCCACAGAAGCAGGGCCAAGCTGGTTAATCATTCATACCAGTGGGGCCATCCAGGGCCTGCAGCCCACAGTTCAGCAACCTCGACAGCAGGGCACGCAGAGGGCTGGGACCTGCCTGAGCCCCAGGTTTCAGGCATAGGTTTATCCTCAACCTGCCGTGCCTTGGGTTCCGCCCATTCCTGGAGACCTTTTCCCTTCAGAGAAAATCAAGGTGCCACTTCACCCCTTTGTATCTGAAGAAGGGGTGACTTCGGCTCTACCTGAGGCAGACCCCAAGGCTCCAAGTCCCAGCACTGGCTACTCATTCATGTGTGCAGATCCTGTGTCCCTGTCATCAAAGGCCAGACCTCTTCTCTAGTTCTCCCATGTCCTTGCAGACTGAGCCCAGGGCTCCCTAAAGTTGTTCTGAAGAGGGAAAGGGTGAGCGGCTGCAGGATGTGGGGTCCCATGAAGGCCTAGAAGCAGCTGGTCTGGGAGCAGAGCCCTCAGCTTTGAGCCAGAAGATGCTGACCTGGGAGCTGCCTGTACCTCTGCAGGGAAGACTACTGGTCACTCTGAGCTCCTTGGGTGGAGTGTCTGCCACTCCGAGGAAGGGGCTTCTAGCACAGAGTAGATGCCTGCCAGTCACTACCTCTTCCCAGGCCTCGCAGATCCCAGAGCCCGGAACAGCCTTCTGAGGGTCTAGAAGATCTTTCCCCATCTGAAAACCCACACCCCACTGCACTGGGGTTTGGGCCATCACAGTCTTTGGCTTTCCTGACCACCATGCCCTCGCTGCCTCTTAGTGAAACCTAACACACAATGAGCCCATGGGAACACCCAGGGGGGCATGGGGAACAGTGTCACCACAGGTGGGACTGTGTCAGAGTTCATGTGTTCCTTAGTGTAGGACATTCCAATTGACCACAACAAGACCGAAAGTGCCCACATGTCAGGCCTAGAGGGGAAGCGACAAGAGGTGGAGCAGGCCTGGCCGCAGAGCCATTTCCTGGGCTCCTCCCCATTCCCCTTGCACTGCTGCTCCTGGTCTGGCCCCACTTTCTCCTGTGTCCAGCAGCCACTCCTTCCAGGAGCCTCTGTGTTCTCAAAGGAGTTGGCTCAGAGCAGCCCCAACACAGCCCAACCGCATCCACTGTACCCCAGAACCCAGGGGCAGTAACTGACCCTCTAGGCTTCAGCTTCTTCATGGGTTCATTTGCTTTATCCATCACTCAGGTGAAGGCCAAGCAAACTGGCCATGGTCCTACCTGCTAGTGGGGGCATTCACCAAGGTGTCCCAACCAGAGGCAGCAGGATGTTGTCAGAGGACGGCCTTCCAACAGTCTGGATGACCTTGACCCTAGTGCCCAAGCTCCTAGAGGGCAGACGAGCTTGTCCCTTACCTTGGGAAAACTAAGGATTCTCTGAGGGGAGAGAGCAGGCAAGCAGCTCTGCTGGTGTCCCGTACCCCCAAGGAAGCAAGCACACCCCCAAGGACTTTCTTTTAAGGGTTCGAAGGTGTGGAATGTTCCAGCATCTTTCCCAATGCCTTGGGCACAGAATAGAGCAGTTTTCCCCAGTTCCCTCCTCTGTCCTTGTGTCCCTTGGCTTTGGGACACTTCAGGTCGGGAAGTGTTACCATGCCCCTCACCCCTTCCAGGGACCTGGTTTCAAGACTCCCAGCCACCGGAGGAAGTGTTCCCGCCCACAGCAAGAGAGAGCCCTGGAGCGCCCAGTGGCCAGGCCCTGAGGCCACTCTGCCTGGGGCGTGGGTACGCTGACTCACCCCCACCCTCGCTCCTCATGCCGATGGTGCCGCCAGTGTAGATGGCCAGCAGCCGCCGCTCAGGTCCGGTAGCGCGAGCCATTGCTAGGACAGCGGACTCCTCAGTGGGAACTGAGCCAAAGGCAAAGCAATACTGGGAAGCGGTGGGGCCTTCAGGGTGGGGCTTGCTGGAGGCCTGGGGCTCTTCTGGTTGGTGCGGGCTGAAGATCCGAGGTAGGGGCTGGACCTCGGGGTGGAGGAGGAGTCGCCTTCAAAATAGAGAGCGGGACACTTGTAGAGTGTGCTGCAGGAAGGATGTCTGCTGGGGATGGGGATGGGGCTGGAGCCATAGGGGGTGGGGCGTCATGAATGGGGCGGGCTTTCTGGGTTTGCCTCACCTAGTGCAGAGGCCAAGGACTTCCAGAATGCCCAATCAGTGCTATTTTCCTGCCCCGGCAGCCTCTACAACTCTGGGATCCCAGCCTTGCGGTCTAGACCCTCTGAGTAGGGCTAGGCTGAATTAGCCGATTTCACCGGAGACTGGCACTCACTGGTAATCTAAAGGTACCAGGAGACAGAACTACAGCTGCAGGCTCCCTAGAGTTGATTGAAACCGTGGTGCAGAGACAGCCCACCCACCCGCACGCTGCGGGACTCGAGCAAACCCAGGCCTTCAGGGGAAACTGAGAACGTCCTCTAGACTGCCTTAGGCGGAGGTGAGGCTATCTCAAGGTGAAATGATGGGATATATTCTGCTGCCTAGAAGAGTTCAAGATCCCAGTGGCAGCAGGTTTGAATCCTTATGGAATCTCTTTGGGGGACATGACCTCTTACTGTGCCCTTTGGTATTTTTATGAATTTGGCACCCCTGGAGACCCGACAGACTGACTTGTCACCCAGTATGTGCCCCACCCTGTTAACACACTGGCTATCTCTGCTAATGTCCCAGCTCACGTAGGAGCCAGGGTGACTCACTGTTACAAACATTACTCCTCTGTCTGTTTCCTGTCGAGGCATTCTCTGACTTGGTCAGATGTCTTTAAGTTCCTGTTCTGGGGACATAGCTCTTATCCTTCTTGAGTTTGCCCTCCAGTGGCAGGATAGCAACAGATAAAATGCTGTGGTGGGGACAGTGGCAGCTGTAAACAAGAGGACAGACACAAGGAAGATGGTAATGCTTCCCTCCACGGCTCCTGCTTCAGTTCCTGCCTCTAGGTTCCTGCCTGGCCTTCCTGCACTGACTTCCTTTGGTGACCGACTGGTTGTGGAGCCAAATAAACCCTTCCCTCCCTAGGTACTTTTGGTCCTGGTGTTTATCACAGTAATATAAACCCCAACTAAGCTGGGTGGTGGCGGCACACGCCTTTTATCCCAACACTCAGAGGCGGGGATATCTGTGATTTCAAGGTCAGCCTGGTCTACAAGAGCTAGTTCCAGAACAGGCTCCAAAGCTACAAAGAAACCCTGCCTTGAAAGAAACAAAAACAAAAAAGATAAAAAGATAAAAGAAAAAGAAACCCAACTAAGACACATGGTAAGTCCACATAATGGCCATACCAGTGAGGCAGAAAGACTCAAAGTGGGGTCACTGGCTAAGGAGAAATACTAGGGGACAATCTAGATCCTTGGTGTGATTGGCCTGTGCTGCTGTTTGGAGAGGCAGATGCAAGGGTGAGGAGAGGGTGGGGGGCTCTCATGAAGTCACTGCAAGTAGCCTTTGTAGCTGAGAGGGACATGAGCAGTATGTGTGTCAGGAAGGAATCAGCCCTGGCTCTCCTGTTAGCCAGTTGTCCATTCTGGACCAATAGATAAAGGAAATCAACTTAGAAGGAAGGAAAACCAGCCAGTATGGTGGAACTCCAGCACTCGGAAAGCTGAGGAAAGAAAACCAAACTTCAAGATCAAGCTAGGCTACATAATGAAACCCTGCCTCAACAAAACCAGACCGGCCATGGTGTTGCATATGCATGCCTTTAATCTCAGCACTGGGGGCCATGTGGAGGCAGAGGCAGGCAGATCTGTGAGTTCGAGGCCAGCCTGGTCTACAGAGTGAGTTCTAGGACAGTCACTGCTATACAGAGAGACCCTGACTCAAAAAAAAAAAAAAAAAAGGAAAGAAAAGAAAGAATTAAAATTTAATGAAAGAGGAACACAGAAGGGTTATTTTGACTGGCTGTGTCGTAAGCTTTGGTCTGTGGTTGGCTAGGGAGCCCTTCTTTCAGCCTGTGTCAGGCAGAACATCATGGTGTGACGCCTGACAGAGGAGTCTGCTCACCTCATGACAGCCTATAAGAGACACACCAGGGGTTGAGGACCCAATGTCCCCCTTAAGGACACGCCCATAACAATTAAACCCCTCCCACTTGACCCTTGCAATGAACTATTCCCCAACCTCCCAACAGTTCCGGGGACAAGAGCTAAGCCATTAACACATGTGCTAACTAACGCTGCAGCTCCCAGCTTCTGAGCCAGGCAGTCTCTAGACAAGCTTGCTGCGAAGTTGAGAAAACTCAGGCAGCTAATGGCCCCGTGTTAGTTAATTCTCTGGCACTGTAAAAACACCCAAGGAAGTCACCTTAAAGGAGGACATGTTTGTCTAGGCTCATGGTTTCCATGGTTTCAGCTCATGGTCAGCCACTGAAATAGGCTGGACAACCACAACAGGGGGCATTGTGCCTACAAAGCTGCTCCAATCCTCGTGACCCAAAAGGGGAGAGGCACAGGGTGCTGGGGTAGAACGAGCGCGCGTGTGGGTATTTTGTTTTCTGTGGCACTGGTATGAGGCACACTATGTACACAGTGAATAAGCACTCTGTCATGGAGCCGTACCCCTACATCCCACCCTAGAGAAGGTCTATAATAAAGCCCCTTCTTCCAAACCCATCCCTGTAGACCCACAAATAGAGCCATTCATTCCCAAGGTTAGTATCCTCAGGATCCAGGCAGCTCTCAAATGAATACTTGCACTGCAGCGAGACTTAAGCCCTCAGCCTGCCCCACCCACTCCCTCTGTCCCTGCCCACTTGGTTTTACACTCACTTCTCCAGAGCACAGTCCTCAAACTGCAGCCCTGACCCAGCAGCCATAAATACCGGGAGCTTGTGGAAATTCCTGGGGGAGCCCAACAACCTACCCCGTGGCACACCCTCCAGAGGCTGTTGACACAAACCAAGATGAAGAGCCACTATGTCAGCCAGGGGCTAGCACACAATGGCTCACAGGGAAAAGCTGCCACCCTGCTTTCCCAGGAGAGCCAGGCCCACTGGGAGGGGCAAGCCAGGTCCCAGGAACATTGTGGCTGGCCTTCCATCAGTGAAGCAGAGGCAGAAAACCTGTCCCCAACTGGGCTCTTGTCCCACCTTTCTCCAAGAATGCAGTGTGCAGACAGAGATTACAAATGGGAGGTACCGGGAGGTGGAGGTGGTGCATGCCTTTAATCCCAGCACTTGAGAGGCAGAAGCAGGCAGAGCTCTGTGAGTTCAAAGCCAGCCTGATCTACAGAGCGAGTTCCAGGACTGGCTCCAGAGCTACTGAGTAACTCTGTCCCGAAAAAACAAACAAACAAAAAAACCACAAATGGAAGAAGCTTTTAATCCATGGGAATAAATTGTAAAAGGCGAAGGACAAATTGCTACACTGGATTAAATGAAACAGGTTTGAGCTGCAGGATGCTGGCTGAGAGCTGGTTCAACCCTTGGAAGTACGGCAGCTCAAAGTTCCCCGAGGCCTTGGGATGCCAAGCAGGAGATGTCCATTGCAGAACAGATCTATAGCTCTGGGAAGTGCTACCCAAAGTTCTCAGAGGGCTTCTGGTGCCAATGAAGGGCCAGCTCTCTTAGAGCAAACCCACAGGGCTGAGAAGCGTTCCAGCTCTCCCAGACATCAGGAGCAGGCCTCTGACGTGATGTGTGGTCCCTGTGTTTGGAGACTGGAAGCTGCCACAGGAATGAATTCCTGTCCACAGGTAAGCATGGTGTCTCAGAGGTCATGGCAGGAATGAGCACACTCTATTTAGGCACTGGTCAAGCCTGCAAGCGAGCTCCAGGCTTGGGCACCAGGGTCATCTCTCCAGTGTGTCCAGAAGGTACTTCAGGTGCTGCTTTCTCCTCCGTGGAATTCTAATGCACCTTACACACCAAAACTCAAACTTGTAGGGCGCTGGGTGGTGCCAGGTAGATGGAGTTGGGTCCTGACTGACTAAATATGGAGACACAAGCAGAGCCCACCAAAAGTTGCTACAGGCTCACAGCCAGGTCCCTGCTGTTGTCTAACTTGTGAAATGTCTCATCCAGAGGGTGCTGCAGGCCCCTGCCACTGCCCCACTCTGTGGTGAGCTATACCACACAGATGAAGGAAGACTCCACAGGTACATAACCACATACCATGCCAGTGTCCTTCCATGGCTGTTGGTGGAGAGAAGGCCTCGGAACAGACCTCACTGTCACATGTATGGCCCTCCAAGCTGCGGCTGTCTCTCTTGCCTTCCATTCTGACAGCCTCTGTGTTGACTACCAGGAGTCAGGTATTCCGTGAGCCTCATAGGAATGTTGCTATATGGTGCTGAAGAAGATGCTTGGTGCCTACTGGGCAGGAGAGGGATCAGAGGCAAACAGACCATGTAGAGCCATGAACACAGGCCCAGTTTCCAGTGGCTGACAGGGGAGTGGGCAAGGCCACAGGTACAAAAGAAAAGGGAGCCACTTGAGGCACGGGGGAAGGAGATGCTGAGAGAGCTAGGTGCAGGGAGGGTCTTGGGGCTCAGAGAGACCTGAGCATCTACTGAGGGTGGGGGAGGAGCCATGGTGGAGCACAGCCGGTTTCCAGCTCTGCAACACAGACCTCAGCCCGTCCTTGTCCTTTGGACGTATGAGGAAGGCACAACTCTGTAGAGAAAGGTGCTCTCACACCGGGATGGTCCACTCACCAGGAGGAGGCCACTGGCTTGCTGGAGCCTGCCCCTTGTGGCATGCTACCCTGAGATATCAAGTATGGCAGTATACAACCACTGATCCGGATGGGTCAGGAGTGGGTTCCATCTGAAGGTCAGTGTGACCTTCTGTGAGTCGCTGTCTCTTCAACAATGAACAGCCCAGAGAAAACAGCAACTGTGG